CCCGCGCCAGGCGGGGGGGGGGGACGGGGTTTGTTGGGGGGGCCCGACCCCTTGGACCCCGGGTCGGGTGGGGGGGCAACACTGAGGGTTGCGATCCGTTGCCGGACACAGAAAAAGACAAAAAAAGGGGAAAAAAAAGAAAGAAAAGAAAAAAAATTCAAAATATAATCGTTTCCTGAACTTTTGGCTAAGATCAACTGTAGTATCTGTTCCTATTAGTTTAATATCTGGTATATTTTTTCGTTCGTTTGTTTCTGGCAGCTGGCCAGTACAGGAATCAAACCTGGTCCCTGGTGTTACCAGCAGCACACTCTAACCAACTGAGCTAACCGGCCAGCTCCTTTATCAGTTTAATGTCTGATATGCCCTCTATCTGAGGACAATATATTAAATGGGTTTTTGCAACGAGGAGATGGAAGAAGAGCTTGTTCCATGCACTCCATGTGTCAATCTGGTATTGCAGTACATCCAGGAACGGGGCACCCCTCGCCCCCCACACACAAAATTCAAAATATAAAGCAACATAAAAAATAAAAAATCATGTTTTAAGATCATTTCTTCTCCTCCATACCTTCTTTTTATGGCCAGCACCGTGAGATATACAGATATGGACATAGATATACACATATATATCTCTAAACTGCAAAACCTTTAAAAATTATTCTGGGCAGGGGGAAAAAAAGATACTATCCTGCATAGTACTAGGGGACTGTGTTGCGTGAGGGCTTTCATGTAGGTTTGGGCTCATGGAAAGCCTTGCTGAGCAAGTGGTGGGGAAACTGACAGCTGCAGGGTGAGAGAGAGAGTTGGCCAGACGAGGGCATGAGGGAGGGCACCGGGGCAGAGGCAGCAGCCTGTGCAAAGGTGAGAGGCTTGGTCCAGCAGCAAGGTAGGGTGGAGAGAGTGAGCAGGTGCTGATGGGGGAAGGGCCTGGGTAGGCGGACAAGGTCCACCAGGTTTGGGAGGGCCTGGAATCCATGGTAAGGATGCTGGATGCTGTGTAGCTTTTAGCGAATTGCTTAATTTCTCTGTGCCTCCATTTCCCAACCTGTAAAATGGGCATAATAGTATAATATTATTATCTATCTCACAGGGTTGTTGTGAGGATTCCATAAATTACTTTGCATGGTGCCTGGTTCATCACAGCAGGAGCCACTCATATTTTCCTCTTAGAGCTCCAAGCACCTCAATCGACATGCAACCTAAAAAAACACAGGACCACCCCACCCCTTCCCTGGCCTCAGGTCCTCCTGTGTAGCAATTCTTAAGGCACCACAGTTTGGAAGGGTCCAAGTCTGAGGGTGAACAGTCAGGATTTAAAAATTTGTCTGTGAACATTTTTTTTTTTTAAAGATGACCGGTAAGGGGATCTTAACACTCGACTTGGTGTTGTCAGCACCACACTCTCCCAAGTGAGCTAACCAGCCATCCTTATATAGGGATCCGAACCCTTGGCCTTGGTGTTATCAGCACCGCACTCTCCCAAGTGAGCCACGGGCCGGCCCCAATCTATGAACATTTTCATCATTGAAATGTTGTCCAGTGTGCTGGGTGGGAAATGGACAGGAGGGTGCTGAGCTGCAGGAGGCTGTGGAGAGCTTTCAAGAGAGAGAGGATGGGGCCAGGACCAAGGAAAATAAATTTGTTGAAGTAGATTAAAATGTCATCTCCAAATGTAAAGCAACTGAAACTCTTACCCACTGCTGGTGGGGTGTAAAGTGGTACAACCACCTTGGAGAACTGTTGGAGAGAAGCCAAACATACGCCCACCCTACAAACCAACAACCGCCCCCCCCCCAGCATATATCCAAGAGAAGTGAGTGCAACTGGCCACCAAAGGACATATCAAGAATGCTCACAGCAGCCTCATTCATTACAGCCCCAAACCAGAAGGCCCAAGTCATCAGCAGGAGAACGGAGAGACCGATGGTGGAATATTTGTGCAATGGAATGCTACAAGGCAATAGAAAAGACCAAGCTACTGATCCACTAAACAACGTAGAAGAACCCTGCAGACATGGAGAGTTTGAAGCCAGTACATGCCGTATGGTTCCATTTATATAAAGTTCAAGAACAGGTCAAACTAACCTATGATGATAAAAGTTAGAATAGTGGTTACCTTTGGGTGGGGGGTAGTGACTGGGAGAGGGAACAAAGAGCCTTCTGAGCTGCTGGGAATGTCCTCTGTCTTGATAAGGGTGGTAGCTACACGGACTTACCCAAATGTAAAGAGTCACTGAGCTGAACACATTAGATGTGTGCACTTTATTCTATGTACATTAAACTTCAGTTTAATCAATGACAAATCTAAGAGCTAAGACTATAAACTCTTAGAAGAAAACAGAGGAGCAAATCTTCATGACCTTGGATTTGGTGATGGATTCTTAGATCAGACACCGGAAGCATGAGCAACAAAAGAAAAAATAGATAAATTGAACTTCATAAAAAAATTTTAAACTTTTGTGCATCAAAGGACATTATCAAGAATGTGAAAAAACAACATACAGAATGGGAGAAAATGTTTGCAAATCATCTATCTGTTAAGGATTTAGTATCCAGAATATATAAAGAATCAGTACAGGGGCTGGCTCGTTAGCTCAGTTGGTTAGAATGTGATGCTGCCAACACCAAGGTCCGTTCAATCCCTGTACTGGCCAGGAGCCAAAAAAAAAAAAAAGCTAGTACAACTCAACATCAAAAACAAACAACCCAATTAAAATTGGGCAAAGGGGGCTGGCCAGTTAGCTCGGCTGGTTATAGCACGGTGTCCATAGGCCAAGAGTTCAGATCCCCATACTGGCCAGATGCCAAAAAAATATATAATAATAATGGGCGAAGGACTTGAACAGACATCTGTCTAAAAAATTATACCTACATGAGGCCAAGAAGCACATGAAAAGATATTCATTGGTCATTAAGAAAATGCAAATGAAAATACAATAAGATACTAGTTCACACCCTCTCAGATGGCTTTAATTAGAAAACAACAACAACAGAAAATAATATGGGTTAGCAAAAGATCTGGAGAAATGAGAACCCTCATACACTGCTGGTGGAAATGGTACAGACAACCACTTTGTAAACCAGTCTGGCAGTTCCCCAAAAGGTTACCATGTGACCCGGCAATTTCACTCTCAGGTATATACCCAAGAGAAATGAAAGCATACGTCCACACAAAAACTTGTACACGAGCGTCCATACAGCGTTGTTCACAATAACCAGAAAGTGGAGACAAGCCAGTGTCCATCAACTTATGAATAAACAAGAGTTCGGCATTGTTACCCCAAGGTCAAGGGTTCAGATCCCTGCCCTGACCAGTCACCAAAGAACAAACAAACAAAACAACTTATGATTAAATAAACAAATTATAGTACATACATGCGATGGAATATTACTCAGCCATAAAAAGGAACAAGGTATGGCAACATGCTGCAACATGAAGAGCTTTGAGAACGTTATTCTAAGTGAAAGAAGCCAGACACAAAAGTCACATATGGCGTGATTCCATTTACATGAAATGTCCAGAATAAGCAAATCCATAGAGACAGAAAGCGGATTCGTGGTTACCAGGGGATGGGGGAAGGAGGAAGTTGGTAGTGATTACTTAAATGGGGATGGAGTGTTTTTCTGGAGTGATAAAGTTTTGAAATTAAACAAAGGTGGTGGCTGCACAATATTATGAATGTACTAAACACCACTGAAGTGTACACTTAAGAATGGCTAATCGTTATGTGAATTTCACCTCAATTAAAAAATAAAGTTCAATTTAAAAAGTGAATGGAAGGCCGGCCCGTGGCTCACTTGGGAGAGTGCGGTGCTGATAACACCAAGGCCCCGGGTTCGGATCCTATATAGGGATGGCCGGTTTGCTCACTGGGTGAGCGTGGTGCTGACAACACCAAGTCAAGGGTTAAGATCCCCTTACCGGTCATCTTAAAAAAAAAAGTGAATGGAAACTGGAAAGCATAAATATCACCTCCAATGCCCCAGTGGCACTGAGAACCTACCGGGTGCCAAGCACATTCGTCTATCCCCTCCCTACACCCCACTGCAGCCCCAAGAGTTTGGGGTTCTCTGGGGCTCTGTGAGAAGTGACTGAGCCAGGCTCATGCTGACAGCAACAGGATCTCTCAGGCCTCCCCACCCCCAGACTCCCAGCAGTCACTGTGGCCCCTGGGGTTCTCTCCCGGCCTCCCTGGGTGGGAGCTGGCGAGGTCAGGGACCGGGAACGTTCCTGCGGCCACAAGGCAGGAGTTAGTGAGTGAGAAGCTTGGAATGTGCTGCCTCTGAAAGGACCTCCTTGTGGCTCCAGCGACGGTTAGAGCAGGAAGGGACTTTCAAAGTCATGTAATCACACAAACATACACACACACACTACTGGAGACCTGAGCCACTGCTCAGTCAGCTGCCCCAGACTGCTTGGGTTGGGGGCAGGGTGATGTTTCTGGAACAGGAGGTGGATGCAGTCAAGGTTGACCCTTGTCAGGCCTCAAATGTGCCACCACCTGACCTGTCCAGCTGCCTGTGTCACCCCTGACCTGCCCAGCTTGGGTTCTGCCAAGTAGTTCAGATATCAGTTGGGGCGCATGTGTGCTGTGTGAGTGCCTTCACATGTGATCAGAGTTCCAGGGGCTCCCATCCCTGGGGCTTATTAACATGTGAATTTGTTACTATTCATCAAATTCGCTACTATTTGTCAAATTCTTACTACCTGCTGCGCTATGCATGGACATTTTTTTTTTTTTTTTGTGGCTGGCCAGTTTGGGGATCTGAACCCTTGACCTTGGTGTGGTGACATTATTTTTATTTCTATCCTCCAACAACACTGAGATGTCATTATCATTATTTCTCCATTTCAGAGATGAGGAAACAGAGGCTCTGAGTGATTGTGTGCCTCATGTAGGTCACACAGCTGGTGAACAGCCTAATCAGAATTCGAACCCAGAACCCAGAGGCATCTGACTCCAGCATCCATGTTCTTTCCATGGGTCACACTGCCCCCAAAATCTCTCTCTCTCTCTCTCTCTCAAACACACACCCCTATATTTCTCATTCTAGTAAACTGCTGTGGTTTCTTCTCTTTTCAGAGGAAAACAAGCCTTAAATAGAACGAGAGCAAGGGAAAGTCACCAGGCTGGTAACCACCTTCTGAGTGCACAGCACTTTACAGCTTACAAAGCACTTTCACATATCTGATCTCATTTGATCCTTCAGCAGCCCCATGAGGTCAGCAGGGAGGCCCAACTGGGACTGTGATTCAGAGAGAAGGTGACCTGCCCAGGGTCACACAGAAAACTAGCTCTCGGACTAGAACCCCAGGTCTAAGCTGGGTCCCTGGCTCTAAGTCCTAAGTGCACCCACACACCTCTAGCCACTGTTCCCAAGGAAGGCAGCCCAGGACCCTGCCTCCCTGAGGGCAAACCTTGAGCTGATCAAATGGAAGTACTTGTAGAAAAGCAGGAGAACCCAGCCCTCTTTCTGTGGTTGTGCAACACTGGCAGCTCCTACTCTTTCTGGGCCTCAGTTTCCTCACCTATAAAATGGGAGAAAGAAGAGAAGCAGCTTTCAGATGGTCCTCTCAGCACTGACATTCTTCATGTGTGAAAAGGTGTCTGTGAAGCTGTGAGGGCTTTGAAAAATCTTGGCTGAGTCTGCGCTCAGAGCTCCCACAGCCCTGACTTGGCAACCTGCTTTGGCCACTCACTTACTGACATTGGGCTATTCATTTCAACGTCTCTCAGCCTCAGTTTCTCCATCTGTAAAATGGGAATGATAATGGTACCTACCTCCCAAGCACATTTGTCTGTGGCCTGACATTCACACAGACCTTTGACATATTCTCCAAACAAGGCTGGCAACCACACAGTCCCTGAAGAGCACTGACAGTAAAGAAGATGGCATTTATCAGACTTCGGGACAGACGCCTGCATCCCACTGCAGTCTCTCAGTGCCTGTAGGATCTCTGAATTAAAACTTGTTGGGGCCGGCCCGTGGCTCACTCGGGAGAGTGCGGTGCTGATAACGCCAGGGCCCCGGGTTCGGATCCCATATAGGGATGGCCGGTTCGCTCACTGGGTGAGCGTGGTGCTGACAACACCAAGTCAAGGGTTAAGATCCCCTTACCGGTCATCTTAAAAAAAAAAAAAAAACTTGTTATAGCTCCTGAAATTATCTTGAGTAACACAATTATATTGCATTACATTCATGGGTAGTTCAAAGCATTACCTTGGTTACTGTAAGCACTTAAAACATAATATCATTTTTGTAACCCTGGTTTGTCATTTACCCACTTTTTAGTATAGCTGAAGCCTTTAAGCAATGCCTGTAGAGGGGCCTCGAGCCACGACTGCGAAGCCCTGGATTGCAGTTGGCATGGTTCCTGGCATGAAAAAAACACCCAATTAGGGCTGGCCCGTGGCTCACTGGGTGAGCGTGGTGCTGACAACACCCAATCAAGGGTTAAGGTCCCCTTACCGGTCAAATTTAAAAAAAAAAAAAAAAAAAAAAGCACCCAATTAATAATAATAATAATCCATCACATTTATAATCCACTTTGCAGTTTCCAGACCGCTTTTACAGTCTTCGTTCCAACCCCCCACGCGTCGCAAGGTAGCTAAGTGATTACTTCGCCCTATTTTAGGGATGGAGAATCGGAGGCCAGCCCAGGCCGCGGGAGG